ATCCCACCAGCAGTGCAAAAAGTGTTCCCTTCTCTACACATCCATGCCAGCATCTGTAGATTCAGGATTTTGTGATTGGGCTAATCTCACTGGAGTTAGGTGATATCTCAGAGTGGTTTTTGATTTGCATTTCTCTAATGATTAGGGACAATGGGCATTTTTTCATGTGTTTGTTGGCCATTCATTTGTCACCTTCAGAGAAGTTTCTTTTCAAGTCTCTTGCCCATTTATAAACACAGTTGTTTGCTCTTGTTGATTCATTTGAGTTTTCTATAGATTCTAGGTATCAGTCCTTTGTCAGATTGATAGGATGTAAATATCTTCTCCCATTCTGAAGGTCATCTGTTTGCTTTAGTTGTGCAGAATCTTTTTAGCTTGATCATATCCCATTTATATATTTTTGTTGTTGCTGCAATTGCCAACGGGGTCTTCTTCATAAAATCTTTTCCCAGGCCAATTTTGTCAAGAGATTTTCCCCACATTTTCTTCTAGAATTTGTATTGTTTTGTGTCTTAACTTTAAATCTTTTATCCAGTAAGAGTCAATTTTTTTTTGTAGTGAAAGGTGCAGATCCAATTTTAGTCTTCTATATGTGGCTAACCCAATTCTCCCAGCACTTTTTATTAAATAGGGATTCTTTTCCCCAGTGCATGCTTTTGTTTGGTTTATCAAAGATCTGATGGCAATATGTGGTTCATCTCTAGGCTCTCCATTTTATTCCGTAGTTCCAATCTCTATTTTTGTGCCAAATACTGAATCAACTTAAGTGTCCATCAACAGATGAGTGGATAAAGAAAATGTGATATACACAATGGAATATTACTCAGCCTTAATAAGAAGGAATTCTGTCATTTGCAACCACATGGATGAACATGGAGTGCACATGCTAAGAGAAATAAGCCAAGCACAGAAAGACAAACACTGAATGACCTCACTTATATGCGAAATCTTAACGTGTTCAACTTATACAGGAAGAGTTTAGAAGAATGGTTATTGGGAGCTGGAGTAGAGGAATGGGAGATAGTCATTAAAAGATATAAAATCTCAGGAAGAATAACTTCAGGAAATCTACAGTATACAACATGGTGACTATAGTTAAAATAGTTAGCAATTTTCAAGAATAGAATACATTATATTGAGTAGAAAGTAGATTTTAAGTGTTTTTACCATAAAAAGCATAAATATGTGAAGTTATGCATGTGTTATTTAACTCAACTTAGCCATTCCACAATGTATGCTTTTATCAAACACCATGTTTCTGGGCACAGTGGTGTGCACCTGTAGTCCCAGTTACTCAGGAGGCTGAGATTGAGAAGATTGTTTAAGCCCAAGAGTTTGAGGCCATAGGGTGCTATGATCATGTCTGTGAATAGTCATTGCAGTCTGGCCTGAGTAACACAGTGAGATCCTATCTCTACAAAAACAAAAACAAATCATATTGTACATGATACTCACATACATATAATTTTTGTCAATTAAAAAATAAATACATTTATTTATTTTTGAGACAGAGTGTGACTCTGGTGCCCTGAGTACAGTGCCATGGCATTATAGCTCACAGTAACCTCAAGCTCTTAGGCTCAAGTGATCCTCTTGCCTCAGTTTTTCTATTTTTAGTAGAGACAGGGTCTCTATTGCTCAGGGTGATCTCGAACTCCTGAGTTCAAGAAAACCACCTGCCTCGGCCTCCCAGCATGCTAGGATTACAGGCATGAGCCATAGCCAAAAAATATATTTTTGCTGGAAAAAAAAGAACTAAAGGAAATTAGGAAAATAATATATGAATAAAATGAGAATATCAACAAAAAAGAGGGAAATTATTAAAAGGAACCAAATAGAAATAACTATGGAGGTAAAAAATGTAAGAAGAGAGAGCCTGAAGGATAAGAACCAGCTAACCCATGCCTGAACTGCTGATCCACCAAAAACAGGTCAATAATAAATGTATTATTTCAAGTCACTAAATTCTGTGGCAATTTATTATTCAGCAAATGATAACTAAGACAACATTCAACACAATCCAAATTAAAATCCCAATATAAAAAATCCTGGAAATTGTGAATTGAACTGCAATAAATATTTCAGTGCAAATGAATATTTTTTAGAATGAAAATCTTATTCTAAAATTCATGACCTACAATAACCACAATAACTTTGAAAAAAAGAATAAGATTAGATGATGTATACTACCTGACTTCAAGACTTAGTATGAAATTATAGTAACCAAGACAATATGGCATTTTAAAAAATTTTTTTGGTTGCTGTTTTTGGCTAGGGGTGGGTTTAAACCCACCACCTCTGGTATATGAGGCCGGTGCCCTACTCTTTGAACCACAGGCAATATGATAATATGGTATTGTTATCAAGATAGACAAATACAATGTGGATCAATGGAACTTAACAGAGTTCAAAACTAGACCCACACATACAAAGTCACTTGATATTTTTTATTAACTTGTTACATTTTTTAGTTTTGTGAGATGCACACTTTCAAAAGAGATTTTCATTGTTATACTGTTATTTTATAGCCATATTGGTAATGTTTTCATGCACAGAGCCATAAGGCTCAAGTTGTTTGGCTATCTAAATTTTTTACATTTATTAGAGCTCATAATGTGTTACTAGACTCTCAAAAGCCATCATAAAATTAGTCTCATTCTTAGCTCAGCACCCGTAGCACAGTGGTTATGGTGCCAGCCACATACACCGAGGGTGGCAGCTTCAAACCTGGGCTAATCCAGGGCTGCTGTTCACAGCTACTGGGCCAGCTAAACAACTGCAACAAAAAAATAGTCAGGCATTGTGGTGGGTGCCTGTAGTCCCAGCTACTTGGGAGACTGAGGCGAGAGAATCACTTAAGGACAAGGGTTTAAGGTTGCTGTGAGCTGTGATGTCACAGCACTCTACTGAAGGTGAAGTACTGAGACCTTGTCTCAAAAAAAAAATTTAGTCTCATTCTTTTGAAATCAGTTCACACAATAAGGATGGCAAGAATCTAACATTTATAGATTTCTAGATAGTAAAGTCCTCAGTCGGTTTTTGGTAACTGCTTTTCAATTGAGTTCTAAAAATTAACAAAATTAACAAAATATTTATAAAGACACTTCACCATAGAAGATATAAGGATGGCATATAAACATGAAAAGATTTTCAACATCATTATTCATTAGGGAAACACAAATTAAAAACACAATGAGATACCAATACACACCTATTAGAATGGCTAAAATTAAAATGACTGATCACCCATCATTCTCCCTTCCCTCCCTGGGTGGAGGGAGGGTAATCGGTGGGACCACACCTATGGTGCATTTTATAAGGGTACATGTCAAATCTGTTAAGTGTAGACTATAAATGTCTTAACACAATAATTAAGAAAGTACAATGAAGGCTATGTTAACCAGTTTGTTGTATTTCAAATTGTACATAAAACCAGCACATTGTACCCCATAAATGCACTAAGGTACACAGCTATGATTTAATAAAAAGAAAAAGACTGATCATAGCAAGGGTTGCCAAGGATGTAGGGAAATGAACTCTCATACACTGCTGGCGAGAATAAAAATGGTATACTTTGAAAACAATTTGAGAATTAAAAAAATTAAAGATATACTGTTGTAGTCCATTAATGCTGCTATAATGAAATACTACAGTGTAGCAGCCGCTGTAGCCTGTGGCTAGGAGGAGTGAGAGTTATAAGAAATACCTGTACAGCTCAATAATGGAACACCTTGGTGAAAAGGGCATGGAGAGGGATTTGGATCTCCTAACAAGCATGAGAGCTCGCGAGATGAGAGCATTGGTGAATTGACAGTCTCTACACCTGTGTTGTTGAGAGACACGAGATTAGCCTTATATTAGGCTGAAGGAGAAGGCAGTCGGGAGCAGGTGCATTCTATCACAGACCCCCTTACTCTGACTCTGTCACTTCTCCTGCCTGCAGAATGCCAGTACGGCGTCTCTCTGCTGAAGATCACTAAGTTCTGGTAAAGACTAAGATCTATCTATTCTAAGAAAACTGCTTTACTCTCTCAAAGACTATCTCTCTTTCTCTCTCTCCCTTCAGCTAAAGGAAATAGCCATCAGGCACCTAAGAGCACTTGTTCCTGAGCAAGATAACAGCATAGCAGTCAGCATCTGGAACACAGCCAGATAGGCTGGGGCCGGAGACCAACCAGTCCCAGGCCATGATAAGTGGCAACCACAAAGGGACTCTGACACTACAGAATGGATAATTTATCTAATAAAGAACAGAAATTTCTCTCTCATGGTTCTGGAGGCTAGAAATCTAAGACCAAGCTGCCAGCCAGTTTGGCATGGCCCAGTCTCTACTTCTAAGATGACAACTTGGTGCTATGTCCTCCTCTACTGTGTGCATGGAAATAAATCACAAAGTGATAACCCAATTTACCAACAGAGTTCAGATATATTTATACATGACTTTTAGAGAAAAGAGGGGAAATTGAGGAACATAGGTTGATAAAGAGCTGCTAGGGAGGATTAATAGATGGGAGAAATAGATTGACTTATAAATTAACCTGAGAGACAGATATGTTTCTCTGGTATATTTCCAGAACAAGTGGGAGAGTTGGTGGAGGTTCCTTGTCCCAACCACCTTTTCTCATAAGGTTCCCTGTGTGCCAAAGCAGTTTTCTGAGGATGGATGACCATGCAGTTGTTAAAGAGACAGATGAGCCATCGTGCTATTGTAGAAGGTGGAGGGTGAAGAAAAAGACACTGTTTATGAGCTTGACACGTTTAATCCCTGGCTCCCGCCACAGATAACCAGATACCCTCACCACAGACTGATAAAAACAAGAGCTTCCATCTTGCACATGCCTTATGAAACAGGAGGGCTTTGTGATGTAGTCTGGTGGCCTGGTTCCATCCTCTGTGAGGTGAACATGACAAGGTCTAGTGTTGGGAGTCATTAGGCACTAGGACCCTGAATGCCTAGATACAGAGATGGCTAATCTCCTCATGCTAATGAGATTTCGATTATGTTGAGCCTTACTTTTGTTTTGTGGGACCTCAGGTATCCCATATATATCTATGGCTGCATCTTCATCATTATCCTAATTATCTGGCAACTGAAAAGGTGCTTCTGTGGATTATGGTTGAAACCTAAAAGCATCTGCTACCGGGTGAGGAAACACCATGACCACAGCTGAACTAATTAAGCCTCAGATGAGAAGGTTTTAAGCTCCAATGTCCTTTCTTATGAGCTTATTGCCCCTTCTTGCAAGTATTTATGCCGTATCTTCAACTACTTTTGTATAAAAGACTTTATCTATCTACATATATAGATATATATCTAGATATTATCTATCTATTATATAGATAGATATAGTCTTTTTCTTCTCAGAGCCTAGAAGTAATTTCGTACTAGGCCTTCCTATAGCATATTCTAATTGAAAACCCAAGAAACTCTCTATTTGGCTTATAAAAACTTAGATGCTATAATATCTACCTCACTATATCACAGAAGACCTCAAAATATGGTAGATTTTTCTGGCTGGTGTTCTGTTAAGGCATCTGTAAGCTGAAGTCCTTGGCAAATAGAATCATCATGTAGTCTTTTATCTGTACCATTGATTGTCTTGTTTCATCCTCAGTCTCCAGCAGAACTTCTCCTCTGGGAATTAGATGGGTGATACATAGTTTGGAAAAGCCTCAAAGTAAACCAGAAATAATCAAATAGGGGAAATGTTGGGGTGTAAATAGGTGGAGTTTGGATAAAGGAAGGAATAGGTGGGTGTATAAAAAGCAAACTTATAGAAGGGAGTGGGAAATGTATATGAACCTTGTTTCACTTCGAACATGAGAAAAAAAATGGTGTCCTAGCTTCACAATCTGATGTTTTTTGTCTTTCAGCGTCACCGGAAGATCAGGCAAAGGGCTAGAGATGTAGTATCAAGAGGTAAAGTCTCAATCTCTCCTCTAAGTATCTTCCACTGTGGGCAAGTTTCCCAGGGATCCTGTCCCTCCATGACCCATGGTGTCAAGAGCTAGGTTCTCTAACCACTCCAACTCCCTGGACTGACAACTTTCCTAGAAGATTTCTGTGGATTGCATATCAGAACTTGGGATTGTTCCACAATTTCCTACATTATTCCCATGAAAAAAAAAACATTGAGGAAGTAGGCCGGATATCCTTAACTGTGTAATTTACTCGTTTTACAACCCTGTAAGTCATTCCTTCTGTCAGTGTTGTTCAACATAAAATGGTCATCTGGTGATTTTCCTTTACTCAGAGCATGTTTGTCAAGATCAGTTGAGAATAGAACAGGAGAATAGGTCATGAGCGATAACATTATACAGAAAGTGCCTCAGAGCATTGACAGTTGGAGTTTCCAGGGCCCTCTCTCTGACAGTCAAAGGCCTCCAGCTTCCTATAGATACCCATGCCATATAACACTGTGTCCTTGTTCCTTAGCATGGATATTTTCTCAAGAAGAAGTTGAGAAGCCACAGGAACTGGTCTCAGTCATGAAAAGGTGATTTCTTGCTCTTTGCCTTCTCCTAACATCTCTGGGCCTGTGATGATTTCTCAGCTTGGTGTAGGGAAGGGATGAGGATAACAGCTGGGTGGGTGGAAACATACAGTAGAAGTAGAGGCTGCTTCACTGGTTGAGAGGGTTGCCAGGGTAGAGGGGCCAGACCAAATAACTCAGGAGGGAAGAGTCACATAATTCTGCTTTGTGGTTGGGTCACAATAGTTTTGGAATAAGGATTTCACCAGTGAATAATTCATAAAAGACATGAAATGGAGTTGCACTCAGCCATGAAACAAATTATCCAATTAAAAGAATGGGTTTTTCTGGACATGGTGGCTCATGCTTGTAATCCCAGCACTCTGAGAGGCTGAGGTGGATGGATCACTTGAGCTCATGACTTCAAGACTAGCCTGAGCTAGAGTAAGACCCCGTCTATTAAAAAAAAAAAATAGATGGGCATTGTGGCGGGCACCTATAGTCTCAGATACATGAGAGGCTGAGGCAAGAGAATTTCTTGAGCCCAAGAGTCTTGAGGTTTTTGTAGTTATGATGCTATATCACTCTACCAGGGGGCAACAAAGTGGATTCTGTCTTTAAAAAAAAAGAATGGGTTTTACATGAAGTCATCATTGCCATATTCTCTTTGCAGCTATACCTTTTTATAGGCAGTGTCCACTAACCTTTCAGGAGTGATGATACTACCTCCTCTGGTTCAGTCTTCAGTGAGGCCAGTTCCTGGGACAGTACTTAGACAGGAGCCTGTCATCTTATCAACTTGAGATCTTTACAGAAAATGATTGATTTCTAAGAGATATTGGGTATAGCTGCAAGGATATCCTATTCAGAATGCTCGACCACATTTTCCATAGTTGGGATGTACTGAATAGCATCCTTTGGGTTTCTTAGCCTTAAATGTGACTGATCCAGGCTCTACTTGGTGGTGCTCCTGGTGATGCCCCATCTACCTGATTTCTTTCTCCTAGTTCAGCTTCTAAAGGTCAACACAGAACTAACCCCAGGTCCCATCCTCTCTGAGGACAGTGCCTTTTCCATGGGTTTTCTGAAACCTTTCCCAGACCATCAGCCCAGCCCACCGCATCTTCCCAAATGGCATTTTCTTATGAAGAAAAACAGAGGCATAGACATATAGGGGGGCCAGGCTCCAGGATTGTAGGACTAGGGAAGGGGAGTGCAACTTCAGACCACATTCTGCCAAGAAGGCAGATGTCACTCCATCTTAAATAGTTTCTGTATTTCCCTTCCCAGCCAGGGCTGGCTACCTCAGGAAGAAAGTGTGCGTCAGCTCCTGTGTGCAGATCCCTGCTGCCACACCTGCAATTCTGTGGCTCTGGAGATTCAGGAATTGCTGGTGGGTGAGCACAACCAGATCTCCCCCAACTTAACAGGGCCTTCACAAAGCTCTTCTTGCCTAGAAATATTGTCCATATCTAGTGTACCTTTTGAGACAAATCTGGAACTTCATTCTCGGCACAATAAGAACATTTCACTAGCACCTATAAACCCCAAAATGGTGAAATTAATGGATCAGAACTCTTTAGCTCAGTCAGCTGCCCAGTCAACCAATGCAGTCAGAGTCGAAGATTACTGGACAGAGCACTATCAGCTACAACAGGACTTTGTGCCTAATGTGCTACAGGACCCAGAGACTATGGCTTTTTCAGGGCTTGTGGAGCCTGCAGTTCCTGTAGATCAGCAGTTGATGCAAAGAAATGCCAATTTTGTCCAGAGGAATGAATACCAGTATCACTTTAACTCCCAACTTGTTTTGCTGCCCCAGAACCCAGAGACCACTATCATGACACATCCTGTGGCCTTGAATATGGTTATTCCTTGCCACCTGCCATTCCTCACTCCTGAAGTCCTAAGGCTTCTTGAGGTCCATGTAAAAAAATGGATGCATTTCCAGAGATGGGGGCTCCCCAGACGTGTAGAAGAATCCCTGAGGCAGCTTATGCCAAACCCACCATTGTATTACCAGTCTGAGAATATTTCTCA